AGAGCCTCCAAATGAGGTCACCCAGCTGCGACCGGATTGGCTGGCTAAACCCCACTTCTTCCCTCTTAAGCCTCAAAATGACAGCAGATGGTGTCCCGAACCTCTCAGAGGTCAGGACTTCTCCCGGGGACTGACGTCCCCTCCCTTGTTTCCTAGGTAACCTGCTGACCTCCGACCTGGCCCGAGCCTCGACGGCCGTGGAAGCTCTGATCGCCCACCGTCCGGCAGGAAGATGGTACCGTGTGGACCCTCGGCCTGAAAACCCCATCCCAGTGTGGATTCTATGCTGCCCGGGGCAGCGGCAGCCTCCGCGACGGATCTTCATCCGAAGCGGTGAGTGTGAGAACCCTCACTTTCCATTCCGACCCCAACATTCCGTGGCTGCCCTCTCAGGGGGTGAGGGTGACCCCTGCCCTCTGACGGTGACCCCTGCCCTCTGATGGTGACCCCTGCTCTCTGACGGTGACCCCTGCACCTGCTTCACCTGCCCTTAAGGATCCTCGGTCCTTCCGCCTACCTGCCTTTCCTCCTTGGCTAGTGTAGATGCCTACCGCCTCCCGTGGTGAAATAGATTGTTCTGAAACGCAGACTGCTGACAGGAAACGGGTGCTCAGGCACCCGGCACCCTGTGCACCTTTGCAGACGAGCCACGTGTGGCCTGCGTGGTTGCTGCATGGAGTGTTTCGTGGCTGAATGCCGTGGTGACGCCACTTAAAAACCGTCGGCTGTGGGAAGTCTTCCCAAACCAAACTCGCTGCCGATGCGTCAGGCTGACCCACGCGCGGCGTCCCCCGTGGCTTCTAAAACTGTCACTCGTGACGGGAGTGGAAATCCCCAATCTCTCTCCCGAGGAGCGTCTGGTGGTTTCGAACTGCCGGCCGACCGTGCGGATGGCAGCCACGTGCGTAACCACGACTTCACCAGGGCCCCTGCCACCGGGCCACCAAGTCTTCTGTATCGAACGTGCAACGCTCACACACGCAGAGGAGGGGATTCAAGAGGCGGCGGCCGCTTGGGTCAGGCATCCCTCCCTCCTCAAAGTCACATCCTTGCTTTTCAGCCCTTTGCCGGGCCTCCCCCAGTTCGGGTCTCCCCCAGTCCTCACTCAGCCGTACTGGAAGGCGTCCACCCTCCAGCCTGGCCTCTGACTTCCTCCCCCGTCCCTTCCCCGCCCACCCCTGGTAACCTTCAAAGTTGCTCCTGTGGGCGTGAACACCTCCCTGGGCTTCTTAGCCCGGTGCTCGCCTGCACAATTTACCTTTTGCTGGTGGCCAACGTCACGCAGCGTGGGGTCCTTCAAGCCCCCCTGTTGTCAGGGCGTCTCACGGATCCGTGGCCCCGCTGGAGGGCAGCTGTGTGCCCCATTGTGTGCCGCCAGCTCTCTGAGCCCCATCATCCTCTGAGGAACCTTTACCTTGCCGCCAGCTCCTGGCTCTTGTGAAGCGCTGTGTGGAGAAGACGGTGTGCTGGCGTCTGCTTCTCTCACGGCTCCTCTTTTGTCCGGACATCTACCAAGCAGAGGAATTCCCGGGCTTCTGGTCATTGCTCGTCTCCACTCCTCAGGAAGCACCCACTTGCTTTGCACCATGGCTGCGCCGTGTGCCTGCCCTTCCCAGAGCCTCTACCGGGACCGGTGACGCTGCAACAGCCCCAGCGTTTGCCATGCCCGGTTTCTTCTAGAACGCTCCGCTCAGGGTTGGGGCGTGCGGGCACCTCGTCGTTGTTTTGATTTTCGCCTCAGGGAGGGCTCATGATGAGGAGCATTCCCTTCGGTATGTGCCGTCCACCCGGGCATCTTTCTGGTGACTTGTCTGTCCCTGGGCTCTGCCCGCTCCCTGTTGGCATGTTTGCCTTTTGCTAGCTACAGCGATGAGGGTTTTCAAAGGGCTTAGAGATCGGTCTCTGGTCTGATATGGCAATGCCCCAAATAACCCTCCATCCTCCATCGGTGCATTCTCTTTCTGCTCCTAGTGAAATTCACTCACTGAATCTGCTTTCGATGCACCCGTAAGGGGTCTCTATCATGTTTTCATTCTGGTGTGTGTGTGTGTGTGTGTGTGTGTGTGTTCTGGTGTGTTAGCTAGTGTATTTGCAGCCTGTGCTAGGTCCTCTCTGGATGACCCTCATAATTCTAGGGTTTGCATTAGGTCTTGAATTTGTCTCGCGTTCCGTCAGCATCCCAGCGTCTGAAGACCCCCGTGTGATGCAGAAGAGAACTCTGAGAGTCCGGGTCCACCAGGGAGACCACTTCAAGGACACTCCTGTGTGTATAAGAAAGACCTTCATAGATGGAGTGCTTATACATTCAGAAAACAGCCAGCCTGGTCCAGATGAAGTCCATAAGTCCGATATTAGCCCAGGTGTGCGATACCAAAACGTCTTGTTCAGACTCACGCAACACATGCAACGACGCCAAATGCAGGGTGATCACCGGCCGGTGGGTGGGAAGTCTTTGGATCCAGTGGCGTTTGTTGGAAGCAGCTCAGCACTGGCAGGGTCCCCACGTGGCTTCTCCAGTTCCAGAGGTCTGGCTGCACCAGGGTGGATCCACGTGGCTTCTCCAGCTCGGGCCACTAGCATAGCTCCATGTGTCCCGCCTCCCGTGAGCTATTTATCTCCTCAGTGCCTCCAGGGGAGGTCATCAAGCTGTGACCTGATGGACAGGTAAACTCCCCCCCTCCACTCCCCAGTCTCTAATTGACAGCAGATGATGTAACGGACACAAGTATACTGACCTCGTTGCTCTAGTGCAATAAAACTAGCCCATGTGTGTTCAGTGATCTTACCACCGAACGAGTTCACAGACGGTAGCGTTTGCCGAAAGAGACTTCTCTTGGGTGGAACCCCTGGGTCCGCGGCCGAGCTCAAATTCGCCTGTCACCGTGGAAATAGCTTCTCTCCACGATTCCCCTCACCAGTGACCAAGCTAAGGATTCTCTTAGGCGAGTCCCAGAGCGTCCAAGAAACACATCGCTGTGTTTGAAATAACACAACGGGGAAGCGGGCTTGCATGTTGGCGTGGAAAACGTGGGGTGAAGAGGTAAATGGGATCTTCCCAGAGACATTTTGAATCCCCCCCTCCGCCGTACCTCCATTTCTCTCACTGCGTTTGACAATTTACTTCTCTGCTGGTTTTATTTCACTTTCATTGATATGATTGTTCGCGGGACCGCTATTCATCACAAGCCCACGCGTCCGGTGACGGGAAACGGGATGTTGCGAAGCGTGCGACCACTTTCCGTTTCTGCTGGTCCGTTTGAGATGAACGGACATGTCGCTAAACGCCCCCCGGTCCCCTCAGCGTCTCTTCCCTCCACCGTCCAGCTACTCAGACCCACATTTACATCCGAGGGGGGAGGCATCGGGTGGTTTCTGTGTTTACTTTTTAATCCAGCAATTTTTATTGAAACACGTTATCCCTGTCCCCCCCTCCTTTTGGGGGACGAGGGGGCTTCCTCCTGTCTCCCTTCCCCCAGCCCCAGCCCCTGGGCGCCATCATGAAGTCTGGTGCATTGCTGTGGGGACCACATGCCCTGGTCTGGGTCTGTCCTTACAGCAGGGGGGGGCATGGGATGCGCACCTTCGCCAGGCTGACCGCATCTGCCAAAACGATGCTGTCAGGTTGTGTCCGCGTCTTGCGGGGCGAGCGCCGTCCCTGGTTTTATTGCTGCCCATTCCAGAGCCGGATGGACCGCAGCCTGTTCTCCTTGGCTCTGTGGTCGGTCGGCCCCAGGTGTGTGCTGTTGTGCCTGTGTCTGCGACCAACACAGGGGCACGTGCGTTTGTCCATGTTCATTCCTAAGCTCTTTTCTCTTCTTTCTTATAGGAAACTTTTTGTTTAATGTGCTGAAACGGGAGGGATTCCGGCCCAGCAGCGTCCCATGGAGGTGTGGCTGATAGCCCCTCAGAAGGTCAGTGCCCAAGGTAAGCATCGGGTCCCCGACGGCCTCAGGGGGCGGTTATTGGATGGACGGATCCTTTCGCTGAGTGCTGTGTGTCCCGGCCACACTGAGCACCATGGGGCTCCAGGCTACCTTGGCTGGACATTGTTGTGGCTGCTGGGTGGTCCGATTCGACCTCAGCTCACGGCCGGCCACAGGGCGTCCAGGCCATCGCCTCCACCGGGCGAGATCCCTGGCCTTTCCTCCACCCAGAGTCTGATGTGTTTCAACCACCCATCTTCCCATTCGTACCTGCCCCCGTAAGGGCAGAGTGGAACTGCCCCTGTGGGTGGGTTTTCAGTGCAGGGACGGAGGGTCCACGGCTGCCGTCCCTTCTTCACGGGAGCAGAAAGCCTCGTCTTCCTCCTGGGGAGCAGCTGGGGGATTGAACCACAGACCTTGCACCTAGTAGCTCAATGCGTGCCTCTGTGCTTCCTGGGCTCCCGTCATGCCGAAAGTCCAAACCAGGCTCACTGCCATGCGAATGTGCACATTACATGCATACTGAATCTATCTATATACTAAATCTATCTCCAGTATGCATACAAATGTATTGCATGGGTATAAATCTATTATGGGTATAAATCTATTATTTTGTGCATGTGTGCATTGGGATGTGGGGTCAGCGTGGGGGATGGTGAAGGACGGGAGGGGGCTTGTTCAGCTGGTCCCAGGGTCCGGGTGGGTGAGAACCGATCTGAGAACAACGTCTCTCGCCGTCTCTGTACCTGGGAACCCTGGCGGAGCAGCGGTTACATGCTGGGCTGCGATTCGCACGGTCGGCAGTTTGAAACCAGCCGCCGCTCTGTGAGAGAAAGACGGGTTTTCTACTC